AGGTATTGCAACAGATGAGCAAGTAAAGAAAGACAAACGGATCTGCATGAAGGAACAGTATGGGTAAAGGAGGGAGAAAAGGGAAAAAAGGAGTGTACATAGAGGAGAAAACAGATATTACTAACAGATTAATACACCAGGATGGAGCGATACAAAGCAAAAAAAAAAAAGAAAGAAAAGAAAAAGATGGATATTATTCAGCCAGTCTTTTCTCCACCTCACCCATATAACCCCTGCAGCCCTGTGCTGCTGGTTGTGCTCTGTCCTGATAAGAGCCAGTGACAGTCACACACAAACACACACTAAAGCAGTATAGTCAAACATGCATATATATCCATGCACCAGGCAAGGCGCCTCAAGCAGCCTTGGCCTATGGCCTAGTGTGTGTGTTCTGCTCAGTGTCTGAGCACCAGCCAGGGCAAACACAGAGTGCCAGAATGTCACCGTCCGGGGCCTCACACCTCCATCACAAATAACCCCATCAGCCATTGTGTGTGTGTAAAAGAGAGCGTGAAAACAAACATTAAGCATGTGTTTCTGTGGCTGTTTAAGAATGTGGGAGCAGGCTGTATGCTTTAAGTGTATTTGGTTAAGAGTGTGTGAGGAAAAGCCATCACTTGAGAAAATGTGTCACTGTATTGTTGCACAGCCGATATGCAGCATCTCTTCTTAATCGCTGGTCAGTGTGTCACAGACTAACATTTGATTAAATGGCTTCAAGTGTTTGTTAATGTGTCTCCTACCACCACTGCTCTGTTTCGATATGCACAGTGCCCACACTTATAGCACATAAACACATCAATATGTGTTAATAGAATATCTTACCATTTACCCCACATGCACACCCCTATTTTCTTCATCTCACCTCTCTTGCAGATGTACAGAAAACCACTTATTTAGGACAGTAAAAAAAAAAAAACTGGTACAGCTTAAATTTTGCTTCACCTATCCAGAAACAGTGCAGGCTCTCTTACACGTTTTCTGGCAAAATCTAATCCGACCTTCCTGTTCTCGAGTGTGATCAGCAGTTTGCACCTTGTTGTAAACTCTGTGTAGTTCACTTCATTCACGAAGGTGTGTCTTGATTGTAGACTTGGATGATGACATGCCGGCCTCCTCAAGAATCTTCTTAACTTGACTACATGTGGTGAAGGTGCTTCACCTCAAAAACAAGTTCAACAATTGTAAGCAACTCCAGATTTTTTTTCTGTCCAACTTATCTTCAAATAATGAGGGAACAGGACTCACCTGCTATAAACCTGCTTGACAATCAACAGTTAATGCACTACTTTTGTTAAAACTCTTGAATTGAAGCTGAAAGTCTGCATTTCCATCACATCTTGAGTCTTCATTCATATTCACTCTGATGCCATACAAAGTCAAAATTACAAAAATCCTGTTATTGTCCAAATACCTATGGGTCCTAACTGAATGCATTATTCAGGATCAGTGATTTAAGTCAATGCTGGTTAGCTCCCAGACAGAAAATAGCCTCGTGAATTGGTCCATTTCATTTTTTCCCCCCTTTCTCCATTTTTAGTGTCCAAAATGGATCATACATTAAATGAGTATTGCACGGGCACAGAATACTAGCACTCACTGCTATCTCTAGCTATATACTTAGCATGCACGTGCGGCAGAACTACTGATCTACTCATCTAATGCTCACTATAAAAGCACACATTTCCCAAAATTCACGCACATTACTAGATGAGGGAAAAAAAGACTTTTGGGTTAAAAAGCAGCAGCCTCGTACCCACAAATCTCAATCAAGTTAACCACCTCCTTGATTGCTCGAGTGAGACTGAGCCTTGCTTTGCAGCAAAATAAACACGTAAGTATGTCTTAACATACCTGAGCCCAGCCACCCCTAACCTTGCCTGGCACTCATCAAGGCTCACAATAACAGTTTATTTCCATGGGTGTGGAGAGGAGAGGAGAGGAGAGGAGAGGAGAGGAGAAATAAAGGAAGCAATCAAGTTCCTCAACAAATGAGAGGAGACAAAGAAAGTTAAAATTCCTCTAGAAGAAACAGGAAATAATTCATCAAGGAGACCTTCTTCTTTCCTCCCTCTCCAGCTTTTTTTTGTTTGTTTCTAGAATAAAGTAACTCCTACTCCTCTCCCGCAATTTTCCGCCCGAATGCTCCTTAATTTGAGGATTTGTTTGTTGTGCCATTGGAAGCATTGTTGATTCATGCATATTTGATTTGGAAATGTCACTCATTATATTTATTTCCTCTCTGCTTACTCTGTCTTTGCCTCACTTTGCTCCCTCTTTTGACACAGTCCATTCACAAAAAAGAACAACACTTTCACTCTTTAGTTGGCTTATTCAAAACCTTTTAGCAGGATTTTCATTCTTTAAACGTGTTTATTTATTTATTTATTTACTTTCTCCCATCACAATGTAATTTGGTGGAACAAATTACAGATGGATGAGATAGCACTGGAGTGCTGGTTTTGTGAGAACGCAAACTAAAGTGTGTGTGTGTGTGTGTGTGTGTGTGTGTGTGTGTGTGTGTGGGGGGGGGGGGGGGGGGGGGGGGGGGGGGGGGGGTCCCCGCATTGGCAACAAACCCATCCTCTGGTTGCCATGGTAACAACATTTAGAAATTGTCAGATGATAGGATGAGGGGGAAAAAATGAAGAGAATTAAGGTTATAGAAAAAGAAATCTTATGTACACCTGTCTCAATTTTCTTTTAAATACTTAAAATAATGGTGCTTGTTTTTTGTTTTATTGAAACAGTGGTTAAAAAAAGGGAACTTCATTCGTTTTATGTCATGCTTCGACTTGTGATCAGCTACCGTCTAGTGAGTAGAACTCCACTTACACCACAGAGTCAGCTGGGCTCCCATCAACCCTGTGTAAACGCTTCTATCTGATTTCTATCTGCCTGAAAATGAGTCTTATCCAGTCCTATCTACTGTGTGTGAGAGTGTTAAAGGTCTGAGTAAAATGCCTGCCATCAGGAGAGCAGATTTCACTCTTATGTTTAACACTGCTTTTTGTATTCAGGATGAAGCTAGAGCATAAAAGGAAACAAAAAGGGATTGTCGGGTGTCTAAATTAGGGGTGCAAGCATATTTGAACACAAACACCCATCCCTGATGTCATGCAATCCCAAGAGGTAAAACCATGAGGTGGATAAGAAAGCGAGGTAAAAATCTCTGTAGTCCTTTCCTTTTTTTTTTTAAGCAATGTATATTTTGTACAGCTAGCACAGAAAAAATGGATGAGAAAAAAAAACATGTGGAGACTGAGCATCAAAGTGGAGATGAGGTAGAGAGAGAAGGACCTGGAGAGGAGAAGGATAAGCCTAGCCTACAGGAAGAGCTGTACTTGTTGGGGCACTGAGAGCGCAACTAATGGATAAGGCAGCTAAGAGAAGGATGATGAATGACTTTGTGAATATGTATCTACATGTGTGTGTGTGTTTGTTGTAAGAATGTTTATACTTCGGTTGGATAAAAGACAAAACAGTACTTGTGTGTTTATGCTGTGTGTATGTGTGTGTGCGTCTGTGTGTGCGTGAGAGAGAGAGAGAGAGAGAGAGAGATGGTGCAGATGATGGTTTCTCTTGTGGAGCATGTGGTCGGTGGTTTCTTGGGCAGACGAGGTGACAGGAGAGGTCTCTCTGTCCACATGCCACTGTCAGCCGATCTGTCTATCCCTTTTGTTTTCCTGCTGTCTTTCTCACTCCGATAATCATCCTCTTTATACGCAGCAAATGCCAACATTTGAAATCCTCATAGTTTGAGATTTATTTTTAAAAGACTTGCTCGGTTAGTCATTAAATAATGTCCAGCTACTTAATTTCCTGTCAAACATCTGATAAACTCATGTAAGCTTATTCAGTTCCAAATCTTACTCTAGCACATGCTATGCCTCAGACAAAAATTCTCCTATCATTCACCAGTGTTACTGAGTTTATATGTTTACTTGCTTCCAGCTTTCCTCTGTTTTTTTCCCCCTTTCATCCCTGCAGGCCTTTCCTGTTTATCCATCCGTTGCCCCTCTGGCCTCTCTCGGCTCAGAGTATGCTAGCCAGCGCTCTCCCTGTGCCTTGCAGATGGGTGCACTAATCCGCTAACGTTAGCTCCATGAGCCGTGAAGGCTAGGTCGGTGTCTTGTTTTGGACGGGCACTGAGGCTGCGGTTTAACTTGCTAGCATTTGGGATTCTGCACAGCTCAGGTTTGAGGGAAGAGAAAGACGAAAGTAAATAAAGGTCGACCAATTAATAAAGGCCGGTGATTGGGGCTGGCTGACAAGGGGGGACTTTAATCTGCATAGAGATAACAGCGAAAGTCAGACCACAATATAAGGCGATGGAATCGTGTTTGTGTGTATATGTGTATGTGTGAAGCATCAATCAGACAAAGCACAGGCATGACTGTCAGTCACTTGGGAGTGCAGTGGATTTACATGCGCAAGTCCACAGAGGAGATGAGCGTTTCAGTGCATTTTTCTGTGTATGTTAATATATACAGGACTGTGTTTGGTGTGTGTGAGACAAAGAAACTAGAAAACCACCCTGAAAACATAACACGGCTCTGCATCTATCACTAATATCCTTGTTTATACTCCAGCAGTTGACAAACACTTGTTATGCCTTGCATGATGCCTGCTGTAGCTGCCAGAAGGCACGATTGATATTAGCTTTTATGCTAATGCAGCATTTGGCTATGTAAGAACAAGGCAGTATTTCCATAGACATTCATTCATCCAAGCCTGCTTATGGCCTTATGGGCCACGACAGAATTATTGCTGCACAGTACACAAGCTGTTGTCACTGTGCCAAAAGCCACTATCACACATACAGACAGCAGACACACGAAGCAGGATAATATGAGGAGAAAACCACAGTGAGGGTGTGAAAGTAAAGGTAGAAGCTGGATGCTGTATGTGTCAAATCGATAGATAACAAATATACATGCAGCAGAAGATGTTGCAGTGGAGTGACAGCAATGTGCACTAATCTGCTCAATGAATCTTACCTCAGAGTTGTTGACACGGCCCTCCTGAAAAGAGCAGTCGTTGGCATTCTGGGTGCACATGTGGCGGTACTTGCACCAGTGGCATGGGAAGGAGCCATTTACACAAGAAAGACAGCTAAAATGGAGAGAGATTAAAAGAGAAAAGAAGTTAACAGGGTCACCTGACTTCTTACTTCAGGCTCAGTCATTGCACTGCTTTACAGCATCATTTGTTATGGCACAGACACAGAAAAAAGTGAAACTGGTCCATCAGTTTCTATCAATAACCTGATCTAACTTGCTGGAAGAAGACTGCATGTTATTTTATTTTCTCTTTATCCTGTCATCTCTCTTCATTAAGCATATGAAATTCGCTTATGGAACGGACTGTGTTTGGGATGTGTGGTCTGTCACAATATGTCATTTCTTTTTTTCCCTCCCCTTTGTAGGGAAAAACGTGAACAGTAGCAGGAAAACAGAAACCAAATGCCTAACTGTGTGATAGCTGTGTTTTCTGCCTGCTTTTTGGAGCAAGCTACTAGAGCCCAGTCGTCTAGATAGGCTAAGATGCTGAGACCCTTATTTATGAAGGGTGCCAATGGTGCCTCGGCACATTTGCAAAGAGCAAGAGACAACCCGAACGGCAGCACCGGGTATTCATAGGCTACGCCCTCGAACGCAAACCTCAGAAAGTGCTTGTGGTTCGGGTGTATAGCCACATGAAAAATAGCACGTCTTAGATCAATCAATCAATCTTCCAGGCCAACTGCATTTAAAAGCTGCCTCAGTGTTCAAGACCACTTGTATTGCTCTTTTCTGCAACAGTGCACTTATTTCCTCTTCAGTATCACTGCAGCCTCCTTGCGAACAGCAGTTTTTATCATTCTGCAGAAACGAAACCGCTTGACCCGGAACTGCAGAAAGTAACCCATAGCAACGGCTCGCACCACCCACGGTGAAGGGGCGCAAGTGTGCCAGCTGTGAGCAGCCAGCCAAGCTAACCTGCAGCAGCTTGGGAACTTAGGAACATGTACATTCATGCAGTTGTTTGAAGGCACCTATATTGGGGCACGACAATGAAAATACAGCGGGAACACTCGATGTGGTCACCTGAAAATTGAACACACCTGGAATGGGTGCTTCTGGGCCTGTGAGAGCTAGCTGTAGGCTTTCATATGACGTATTGGGAGGATGTCGCGCAGAGCGACACATCGCGCTATATGTGCAGGCGGAGCAGTGCACATGCACGCCATAGGTCGTCCACCTTAACCTCCTAAGACCCGAACTCTTCCACAGCATGCATTTTTAATTTCTCTTTGATATTTGGGCTGATTGGCCCGATGAATGTAAAAACAAAGAATTACCAGATTATTTTTTTTTACCTTATTTTTGTTTTTATGAAAAATCAGAGCCACATATGAGGATATTCATTTAAAATTTTGATAGAACAGTAGCAGTATAATGTCCTCGTAAGCGGGTATCAGGCCCTTGTAGAGCAAAATTTAGTATTTTGGTCTAAATAACCCAAAATGTGACGTCCACATATGTGGACGGCAGGTCCTAGGAGGTTAAAGGCGTGAATATAGGTTTCTTCAGCAGGACACACGGAGCCGTGATATCTCATACTTATGTGTTGCACCATTTGAATCAACTGAAAGGGAACCAGCAGACTGAAAATAAGATGTAAAACAGGGCTGGGATAATATAGTTTGAATACAGTGGTAACACCACACTGACCAATACAAAAAGAATGTATTGATATAAATAAATATTTTAATGCTATTTAAATCTTTTTTCCTCAAAACCCTCTTTTTCCACTTGTTTTTTGCCACCCCATTTCATATTCTCTCTCATATATTCTTCCCATCTTCCAGCTAGCTATCTAACATATGTACCCCCCTCCCTCGTTCCCTCATTCATCACTCCCCACTTGCTTGTAACTGTCCACTGCTTGCTGCCTCTATATGTTCAATAATCTTCCTCAAACTTGGCCTCTCCGTATACATTTCCCTCCAGTCCTTTATTCTGTCAGTCTTTTAAAATCTACCTCTTTCTGTCACTCCATTTCTGCCCCTCTCGCTCTTTTCAACTCTTTCATTCACCCTCTCCCCCTTCCCCTTTGTCTAAACCCCTCTTTCATCCGTGGGACTAAGAGTGCTTCACGATTTTGAATTCACCTGCTTTAACTGAGGCGAGGTGCAGACAGACAGGCTGAAAGATGAGAGGAAGGAAAGAGGGAAAGAGAGAGAGAGAGAGATCAAAAGCAGGTGGATTTCCCTGACAGAGATGTAGACGCCAGGTATCGTGGGAGAGATGGGAGAGGGGGGGGTAAAGGGGGTGAGAGGTCTCACAGGAGAGCGAGGAAACATTAGGCTGGAAGTGGGGAAGCGTTTATGAGTCTGTATCCACCATCTAAAGGGACCTGTAAGGGACAGCCAAACAGGTTTAAGAGCAGTTTATCTACAAGGCATCATGCTATTGGTGCTCTCTTACTCCTCGAGAGATGCTTAGCCACTTGGTATCTCATTTATGTGTACTGCATAATCTAATGTAACCATTATGACTTAGCAAATAAAATTGTTTCATTTTATTACAGAGCTTACTAAAGCCTTTTGTCTTCGGCATGAACTTAGTTAGAGATTATTCTGTGACTCATTTCAGCTACTGAGCTTTGTGTGAGCATATGGTTTATTGGAAAGACAATAAAATACTACATTTAATATAAGTAAGCTGGGAAAGCGAGCAGGTTGATTCGTATTCAGCCTCATCCACCAGGTATAAATTTGTGCCTCTGCCTGAATGACTCCTGACAAGCTCTCAAGTGTGTTTTAACCCTGTGTAAAATGCGAGCTCCCCTTCCCCACAGCAAATGAAAAATGAGGGTCTTAACTTGTGAGCACTGAGATGGAGCCCATATATGAATCCATCAAACCCTGATGTGGATTCATTTGGATCAATTAGGGCCACTCGTTTGTTAGGTGCACGTTTTAAGCGATCGTTTCTAGCCCAGACCCCTCCTTTTGAGCAACATCAGACGCTCGAGCTTAATTCAATCCCACTGCCTCTTTAATTGACCAATTTAGCATTGTGCTGACAGAAGCTGTCCATTTAGAATAAAAGATGTGCAGCTAAGGAAATAACAGGCCTCTTAATACCACACAAGAGCAAATAGGAGATTTGTCAATGTTGCCAACAAATGGAGGGAAAGCGATTAGGCGACGCAAGGTTACCATACAGTGCTGAGAGTCAAAGAGCAGAACTGGGATTTTAGCTCAACACTGTGTCCCAAAGGAAGTTGCAAGAAACAGAGGAAGGGCTGTCAATGCTGGACAAAAGACCAGAAGACATTACTGGTGCAAGACAAATGAAGGAGAGGTAAGTTAGTCATGCTCATGGCGTTGCTTGTTAGGGTTTCTTCTCTTGCTAACAAATACTATTTTTAATGTCAATGAATACCTTTTTTGGATTAGAGTTCATCAAAATACAGTACAACACCAACTTAACACAGCAGGTAACCAGAACCAGACAGTGAGCAGTACAAAGTGTAGTTAGTAATTCACACCAGTCACTAAACCCCGATAATAATCCTTTATATCTGTTTTTTTTTTCCTTTTTCTTTTATTCATGTCAAATCAGCCTTGTTAGTGTACCAACGACTTTGAAATAATGAGCAAAATATCAGCATGTAACTACTGCCAACTTTTAGTGACTTTTATGGTTACGCCCTTTGAAATAAAAGGCGTCGCCCATTATGCGTGCCACCCAAGGCCAGCAGTAGGCCCTGTCTGACAACCCCCTACTGTTCGCTCTTTGGTTCCTCCAAGTAACCAGGACCCCCTGTAACGAGCTGCCTTAGGATTTCAAGGTCTCTCTTTTAGGCTTGGTGCACACCCTTTTAATAAAAAGCCCACCCAGGGCAATTTGAGGACGTTCAATTCTAGTGTCCAGAGGTGGGCTCTTTTCTTCCGACCCCCCGATAGCGTCCTTATTGCTCCTTCCTGTCACTCCCCATCGCCTGTAGCCACTCAGAGCCTTTGAGCGGCTGGAGACACGCTGCCCGTATGTCCACGCTCATAATGCTAATTTAATCCGCTCATATTCAGATGCTAATGGAGATACGCTAGCTTTGCAGCAGCAGTGGCCAAACACAATAGACCGACTTCCTCCTCTCTCTTCTCCTTGGTCAGTTTGGAGTGTTAAACACAATCAGCTCTCCTCGTGAGCTGCGTTTGACACTTGTGCACTTGGCAAAATGAGTTATTTATTGGTCACGATTCATTTGAAAGAAGTGGAGGTGAATAATTTAACGGCCCTCCAGAATAGTCTTTTCTATCATTACTGCATCCCTTCAAAATTTGAGAGGGATTGATAAAACACATAGGGACTAATGCTCGTGCACATAAATCTATTAATGCGTTTACAAGAGTGTTTACAAGAAAACAAGGCAGTCTATGTGGGCCATTCATTTTATAATTACTCCAAACCTTTCTGGCTTTATTCTTCTACCATTTTCTCCATCACAAAACCATGCCCCTTTCTTGTTATCAAATTTAATACATTTTCTTTCTCCAAAGAGCACCCTCAATCACACAACAAATGATCCAGACACTGGCCAAGCCACATTAACCATATTAAGAAAAGGTGCTTCATGTGGCCTTATTCAGACACCCAAACTCTAATTCATTTCCAGACTGTATGCTCTATCTTTATTAAATGGGGGGCTGTGGAATGAAAAGGAGCGTATGGAAATATTTAATTAAGGAGCAATCATGGCCGCGGGTGATTTTCTATTTCAATCTCAGCAACCCTTAAACTGAAACAGTGGGAATTCTAATTATATTAGTACTGCTATGCAAATTTATGGCATTTTTGAAAAGGCAAGGGCCACGACGCAATCAGTTGAGTAAATAAAAAGGTGGGGTGTGTGTTGTTTTTAAAAAAATTTTGTTTTGGTGTTTTTTTGGTTGGGTGTGGGTGGGGGGGGTATTAGCACGTGAGATTAAACTGTTGGCAAAGCAATTCCAGTGTGCATTTATACTCCAGCATACAAGCCTAGACAGCAGGAAGTACAACATGATGCTGAGGAGGAAAAAAGAAAGATGCGTGGGAATTCACTCACAGCTAATGCTCGCAATTCTGCTTCTGAATGTTTCGAGAATGTCTGCTTCCTGCATAGTGTAAGAGCCTGCAGTATTTTAAGTTCAAGGCCATTAGAGGAAAGCCCAGCTCTGCAAAGAATGACCAAGCATTCTGGAAACAGGGCCTTGCATGTGGCTGTGCGGGCCTGAACTGATTACACCAACAACATTACCAGTCTGATCTCATCAGATGGCAAACACTTACGCCTGGGGGGGAACAGCGGGTATGCGGGACATAGTGCCAGCTCCAAATGGAATTCTTATCTCAGCATCTCTCTTCACCATCAGAGTCGCTGCAGAAGATGCAACGTGCCCTACCTCTAACTTCGTTAAACATGTCCATTACATCACTCAGAGGTTGTATTAGATCAGAACAGGGAGCAGACTTAATCAGAGTTCATTGGGCTAATATCGTCACACGGGCGACTCTCTCGTCTCTGTCACTTCTCGTACTTTTTCAATCGATTTATGAGATCAGTGACATGTTAGAATATCTGATATGATATCGAATTTTACAAAAAGGTGTCCTACTATATTTGTTTTCGTTATTAACATGAGATGTGATGCAAGATGCACCCAAATACCCAAAAAGACATTGAGAGATAACACCGACATTATGGGGTCCTTGTGGGAGATGAATTAACTGTGAGTTGACATCGTAAACCACCACACCCTTAACCAGCTGAGCTAATCATCGTTGCCGTGGCAGGGGATTTGTGTACAAGAGCAGGGGGTTGGGTTAAAGGTCACAGTAACGGATTAGGTGTCCAAGACAGTTGGGGTTTCAGTGAGCGGTAAGTGCAGGAGTGGAGTAACACTGCACGTGTATGTCTGTGTGTGTTTGTAGACAATCCTCGAAGGAGGCTCATCCTGCATCCAGAGGGAAGCCAGGATGGAGCCCTGTGGTACCCCAGGGGCCCCCAAGCCATCTGCTGCCCCAAGGCTAATACCCCAGCAGACGTTTCAGCCTCCCCTAGATCAGCCCCGATTGAGCAGGAGGGAGGGTATTGTGTTAGGGGGATGGAGGAGTTAGAGGATTCTTTTACCCTGGCAGGGCGCACCAGGCTTGTGGTAGGACTGACCTAAGGGTGTGGCTCTATGGGTGGTAGAGATTTTCAGCAGAAGGTGGATTAGGAGAGGCAGTGAACTGCAACTAGGCACAGAGAGCTGAGGGCATCTGGAGTGTGAAGGAGACCAACTCATTGGAAGAGGCACAAGATTTGATTCACACCGTTTCAGTATTATCATAGTTGCTTTGATCTTTTTGGGGTAAATAAGTGCCAGGCTGACAATGTCATTGCTAAAAACTCCAACTGTATTTGTTTAATCAAGCGGGTAAAAAACAAAATAATTAAGGTAGAGTCCAAAATTTTGAGCCATTATGACAGACCACTATGCAATGAATTAATCATGCAAGTACCATTAGTGTGTGTTGTGGGATATGATAAAAAGAGTAGAATTACCATCGCATGTCCCGATCGTTTCTCATATATGGCACATTTGATTTTTCTCTTCAACTGTAACATAAGCCTCCCGTGGAGGTCCGAGGGGGGGAGATAGATGTGTGTGTGTCTCTAACTGTTTCTCTCATGGACAGTAACATGAGACAGCCTATGGTACGAATGGACAAAGAGGCCATTTCTTAAAAGAGCAAGAGGGAAAAGACTAAAACAACATTTTCGCCCATCAAACTAGAAAACATGTCGTCACTGTCACTTACGACTGATGGACGCTGCAGTTGTAGAAGACAAAGTCGACACTGGCAAACTTCTTGCCCGTCTCCTTGGACTTCAGGTAAAGTTTCACCACCCGCTTGTCACCTGCATATCAGAAACAGGGAAGCAGCCAGATTAACAGTTATTCTGCTCTCTCTGAAGGCTTAAAAGAGAAAAGTCCAAGTCAAACACATTAGCAAACAATTACATTTGTATCTAAAAACTACTTTAAAAACAGAATAAACACGGGCGTAAATTAAAACAACTTATTTGTCGATACAGAGTGACACTTCTGTATTCCACTTTTGTGCCCTTAACAGATAACACATACACAAAGACATACTGCAGCCTAGCAACACACTACTCATGTCACACCCACAGTAGGGTGGCATTAAAAATAGCAGCACCAATCAGTGTTTGGATGCCAAGGCTGATGAGAACTCATAATGGGGCATAATGGGCTCAGTTGAAGAACTACTGTGATGTTGCTTTGAGGAAACTTAGTGCTCGCTATGTGACATGTTTTCGGTGCTTTGAATGCGAATACAAAACAAGTTTTTTTATTACCATCTTTGTGGTGTGACAGAATTGGACATAAAACAGGTGCATAATCTCTGGGAAAAAAATGATGTCGATATTTTTAAACATTACGCTAAACCACACTGAAGTTGCTGCTTTGAAATGAAGTTAAGCACAAAACCAGTCTTTCAGATAAATAAAATGAAAGTGACATCAGTGCACAATGGTTGATAATGGGAATACAAAAACAGTTCTATTTTCAGTAGATAAAGCTGGACTTGTGTTTAGGCTTCAGAAAGCGAGTGTGTGGCTTTTATTGAAACTGACAAGGAATACTGAATATAGACATGCAAAGCAAATCAACTAGTAACATTACAATTCTGTTCTAAAGCTCAAGTGTACTACAAGATCCTTTAGGAGGGCACACATCTGCTACATCTGATGGTGAATATACAGTACAGAATGGCATGGAAATAAGATGATCAAGAGGCCAAAGAAACCAACAAAGATGTATCATAAAGATTTTGTGTCTACATTCTTCAAGCATGTCACCAAAACTTGCCATAACCCTAGCCACACATCTCATTGGGTGCTACCACCCAATGACCTCATCACTCATTGCCCTTCCTGCCCTGACCTTTGTTTCGAGTGATTGGGGCGATGTCCCGGGCAGAAGGAGACAGGCAGAAGATGTGTCCACCCTGGATCTGTCCCTCTGTCTCCACATAGTCCTCAAAGGAGCAGTTGACCCCCGCTGACAGATCGGGCACATTGCGAGCTTGGAGGACCAGCTACGGGTGGGAGGGGGAGAGGGAGAAGGAGAGAGCAAGAGCGAGAGAATCAGTACCCAGTGCTTGATCAATGGAAGGACACGGTGTACATGGATTGTTATAAGATATGACATGAGGGTTAATGGCTGTTGGGACAGAAGGGGAGTGATACATGGGTATGTGTATGTGTGACAGTTACAGGAATAAAAGAGTGAGCGCATGTGCGTATGCATCAGTCACTGGAGTGGCCATTTCGAGCAAGGTTAATGTGTACAAGTTAATGTGCAGAATGAAAGCGAGGCTAACTGTAATCAGTCAAACCTATATGATTACACCGAGGAGCCACTGATGGAACGAGACCTCGAAAAGCTCAGAGTAAGAATTACGAGGGCACGGAAAGCAGATTTCTAATTAAATCTGCTGTAAATATTCAAAAGTGACTTTTTTGGTGTAATTTCCTAAAGAATCCATGACATAAGATTGCATTTATATCCCAGTGAAAACTGGCAACACTGTACACCAGATATAGAGACGCACACCGTTTCTTGCTTTGCTCATTTCTCTGTAATTCCATTATGTTGTACCAATTTGATGATAGGACGAATTCAATCATTTTACCAAAAAACTGATAGTATCTAACAAACGTCATATTAGTACAAATTAATGAACAAAGCTCATTTGTCTTAAAAAAAAAAAAAAAAAAAGGCACAGTGGACACAGAAGATTTCACAGAGCTATTGAGAAGGTGAATGTTAACTATAACGTCACCTTTAAATAAACCAGCTACTTATCTGCTGAAAAATCCTCATGCATCATACAACCAGCCTAAACCATTTTGAGACGACACTAACCTTAGTTTGGCATTTTGGGAAATGCCACCCTGTCTCTGTCAAATAACAGTAACTAAATCTGTCTACCGGCACCTCTAAAGCTCACTGATTATTATGTTATGTTATGCTTGCTCGTTTAGTCTGAAAACAACAACATGACATTTTAACAGCGGGTTACGTGCCAGGCCATTTCTTGGCTGCACCCGACAACTTTGCCTCGCTTCACCAAGTTAGAGTGGGACACACAACCTTACACTTTATTTTTATACCAGTGAAGACATAAATCTAATGTTTAGGAGGTTTTTGAGTTCTGGCCATTTTACAGTCTTTCTGCTCAAGTAAGATATCTGTGTGCACTGAAACAGGAAGACATACCTGGACTTCAGACATCGTGACAGAAATATTTCTCGGCTGAACAGTTAGCTCCACACACTGTCTCTGGTCAGAGGCAAACCTCTGAGGCTCTCCTGCCCGCTCACAGTGGTCCTTACGTGAACATCTGGGAAACAGCAAGACAAGAAGCGAAAGATTAAAAAAGATGAAAAATGTATAGTAATTACAAGAAGAAAGGTAAGGAGAACGGGGTAAAAGAAAATGAGCTTGACAAGAGGTGAGAGGAGGAAAGAGGCAACAGTGGACACAAGAAACTGTTAAACTAATATGACAATCATATTAAGATGATAAACACACACAGCCATCACAGTCACACAGAAACGGGAGCAATAATAAAAGACAAATAGGCTAATAGCTTCCCCCAGCCATTACTGTAGGGCTTTAGATCATTACCTTATTGGTCGTGACATTTGTGCAAGAACTGCCAAGCTACAAGACCAATCAGCTCGCCTCATCTTTTCACTTTACAGGCCCACCCAATTCACACTTCTCAGGAGATGTACAGGCGATCGTTAAAGTTTCCCTGAACACTAAAAAATGATGCAATTTCCTACCAGATGCATATCAAAGGGGTCAGCAATTTCACCCACGCTTATTAAAAGCCAACTGATCGTGCTAAAAATCAGCATTCAGCCCCGTATCGTAGTGGCTTTACTATAAGCAATTCATAATGCATTAGCTATCACTTTCACCTTTGCGCTAACAACATCTGGTCCCAGCGGTGAGAAGAAAATGCTGATGCAGCGTACTGCAAGTCCTTAACAATAATAGAGAGCCAGAAAAAATGCTAACTGCTTCCTTCATACAGCGGTGCCCCCATTCCCTCATTTAGTTAGCCTTCACTCACGGTCGGGAAGAAAAAGCTGTCACCAAGCACCCACCTGAGAGTCCCTGACATACACACACTGTAAGGCATTAGCAGAAAGTAGAAAGATTTGTACACCTTTTCTTATTAGGAACCCTTTTCCCTTCTACTGCTCTTCTGATGTGTGCGACTGTGTATTCGTGTGAATGAAGCGTTTCCCCCGTTTCAATTCCATGTGTCCAAATGGCGGGCTGTCACTGAATTAAGTCCATCATGACTGTATGTGTAATTTCAAATGTGTGATAGTCTCCTGAAATGGGTAAAAACAAGTAGTTTGTGTATGTGCTTGTGCATGCCTTGAGGAGAGACGGTTTGGTGATACGTACTATAAGTTTAATTAATGTAATGAAGAGATGGCTTTACGCCCAAAGCTTGAGGCATTCCAAATGTGGTTTAACATGCCGTCACCTCTCAATAACATGCAACTGTTCTCGCCTTACAGTGTGTGCACACAAACCTTCCAGTCAAACAGAAAGAATGACGAGATTGCAGGTAAACAGTGTTAAAATGTATCACTACACTCTTATGAGGGCTAAGCTCAATTTTCCGACTGCAAATCCCTCTATTACATATCTAACCTTAAACAGTAATCTTATAGCAAACAAGACTTAATCCAAAAACCAAAGACTGACAAAGAGACTAATTCTAAAATCTGTAAAATCTGTTCCTGCAAAAGTCTGCAGGTGTACAATACCATGCTCACACACACAAAACTGGCTCAATAACACTGAGAAAAATAGTTCTAATAATGTAAGCTGTCATGTTCTGTAAGTATTTATTGGAAGCATGCAGCAGCTGTAAAATTTAAATTTCCTCTTGAGTGATAATTAAAGGACTAATTTAAGCTTGTTAGAAGAATTTTATTAAATCTATAACAAACATTTACAAAAGAGCTGTTTTGGAGATTAGGGTGTCATCACAGTTTGTTGGGTAAAAGCCTACTAAGTATAATATAAAACTTTTCAGGTTGTTGCTTCCATTCCTAATGTGATCTTCTGAACTAAAACAGCCAACACTGCTTTCTCTGCTATCTACAGTGTAATGCAATAGGCTACATATGAAGTGCACCAGGATGGAGTATGTTAATACGTGCAGCACTTACACATTGTGAAGAACACACCATCCACAGTGAGGGTCTCTGGAGCCCAAACACTCCCCGCAAGTGGTGTACTGCTCACAGCTCTCTACTGGAACTCTCACCACCTACGGAGAGACGAAGCAGGGAAGAGAGACAAGAGATATAGAGCAGGGAGGCAATTAGTGTCTTCACAATCAAACTCATAAAATGAAGAGTATATTCAGCCGGATGGAGGTAAGAATTTGACAGCTTATCAGACTCCTATTTAAAAAATGCAATCAGCAAACAGTTAGTGTGTGTTTGTCTCAGTGTGTGTGTTCCTGAGAGAGACTAAGTGCTAGTCGGTGAGAGGTGTATATGTGTGGGTCTTTGTGCTTATATGTGCTGTGGTGAACCATTTCAGCAATGTGTGACAGCCTCCAGTCAAGCATGTACAGGAGAGGCCTCGCAGTGCATCATGGGACAGCTGAAAGGTGAACATGATAAAAGTGCTGTGATTGACAGGTGACCTCAAAAACCAACAGGAGGCAGAGGACCAGAAGGACAGACCCAGTGTGTTTGTGTGTGTGTGCGTGCGTGCGCACATGTACGAGGGAAATCTGTACAAAGCCTGTGCAACAAAGCTTTAGTGCATCAATGTGACATTACTCGCGCTGTGTGTTTGTGTGTGTGTACGAGTGTGATGATAGTCTGCAGATGTTGCCTACGAAACCAGATTAAGTGTGCAAGTTTAGCCCTCCACTTCAGTTAAAGGTGACGACAGATTGTTCACAACACGGTCCCAGTGAACGTGAATGAATGCATGTGTTTCAAGATATTAAAAGGTTGAGCTTGTTCAAGAGTGTGACACACCCCGAAAGCAAATGCTGAGAATGTTAGTGGGCAACAAAGTAAGCGTGTGTGTTTGTATCTGTTGCAAGTGTCAGCACCACATCCAACTTCTCTTCACCATTGGGCCCCCAAGTTGATGATTTGCTGGAAGCCCATTTCATGATATGTGTGTGTGTGTGTGTGTGTGTGTGTGTGTGTGTGTGTGTGTGTGTGTGTGTGTGTGTGTGTGTGTAAGAAAACGTGAGTGTGTATCAAGTTGCCACTGCAGACACATGCAGCATAGAGAGGGCCAGCTGATCACTAAGTAAAAGCATTTAACAATCTTTCCCCTGGGTAACACTTTCACATCACACAGACAGATTTAACCATAAGAACCTCATCCAAGTGGTATGTGGAGGGACTAAAGTGGTGTCTTTTTTATGAGGTAGGGATTTGGGGGGGTTGGGGGGCAGAGCGATAAGAGAAAAGAAAAACACGGAAGAGAAAAGAGCAGAGGCCTGAGGCTTAAGATAAAGGTGGTTAGCAGCAGGACGGAAAACAGGTGGACAAAGGAATAGAGGAGTGAAATATTAAACTGGGGCCAGGATTCCTCTGCAAGCTGCAAGTACAACTGAGATATGAGATAGATGTGACATGATGGAACTAATTTCTGCTTCAAATGCCTTGCGGCAAACTGGCTTTGGGGCTTTGTGAAGGCTCACAGGACAGAAAAACAAAAACACTTGACACTATACGCTATCATAGCACTTTCTATCCTCTATTTCCTGAGTGCATATCTATTTGTTTACACTATATGATTCTTGTGCCTATATCACTGTTTGTAGCCATCATCCTGAGCACCTCATCTATTAGTCAATGTAGACCTCAGTACAGTAGATGAAATGACGCAAACAAGATATGGTGCTGGACTGTAAGGCAAACGAGGAAGGTGGTAATCTACTGGAAGTGCTGGCTGCATGGATGAGAAGTCAAAGAGAAGTCTAATGGAAGACAGTGCGAATTGGCAAGGACATTTTGCTGAGTAGATGGGATATGGTGGCAGACGCCTGCTATGTGTCATTGTCAAATTGAGTGTGAGTCTAGTTTTCATCTGCAAGGAGAGTTGAAAGAAGGATGGAACAGGGGACTGGGTCTTTTGGTGTCTTTGATAATAAAAGAATGACAGAGGGGGAAAGAAGTGTGAATGAATTAAGACATGATGGATAGAAGGGGAGAAAAGCAGCTTGAGTTTAGGATATGTGATTGGACACCTTATAGGAGGTCTCTATGACTCAACAAAAAAAATAGGAAATCGAAAGGAAAGAATTATGTGTTCCACATATACCAGCCAATTCCTCCACTCACCGTAATTCACCGTAATTCACCGTGACTCTGATTAAGGACAATGATCCACATAAATCATACTAACGCTACGGGTCCTTGGTGAGCTAGCATAATCTTATCATGGCCCTGTGTAATGATAGGTATGACCTATTGTTCACATTCGTTCCTACAGTAGCAGTGGTGAAGACACTGTGGGCTCAGCTGAGTGGTAGTGACTCAAATCGTAGGGAAGAAATTAAGAAACTATAGTGGTTGTTTTCCCCAGTGGGTAAATAAAATGCTTTCCAATAGCTATGAAAGTATGTGTATGACGTATGATACAAGAAGATACAATAAAATAAATAAATAAATAAATAAAAACCTTAAAAAGAGGTCAGTTTCTCCCTCTGTTAGGAATACAGGCACACACACTTATCCTCACTGTCTCCCTCTTCCTATCTCTCTTGATGGCTCTTTTAATGAAAGCCAATTCCTGACAGCGCGCCACATTACTCCTTTAAATGACCTTATAAACCAAGCCCGCCATCTCCTCTCTCTTGACTTCTCCTTATTTACAATAGCATCCACTGCTGTAGCTCAATTCTCCTTTTCTTGCTCCTACTTCCTCTGTTGTCAACCTTCTACCCTGACCATATCACAATGCCATGACATCTCCTTTCAGCTATAAACTTTCCACCTTTCCCCTTCAATCTGTTTTTACAGAGCGCTATCACCTGCTTTTAAACGTCCAGCTAACAGGCTTTGTGACGGTCACCCCCAAAACCCAGAGGAACTGTAAAGCTTTCAGCGCAGCTTTTCATTGGTTGTAAACTGTAAAGACATAAAAGGATCGGCCTTGTTGCGGCTTCTCTTTTTTTTTTTTTTTAAACATTCAAACACAGAGAGAGGCTGGAGAAGAGGAGAGAAGGAGGGGGTGTAGCTGTAGATGTCTGCAAGAAAAGAGACTGGGTTATACTGTCAGGGGGCCAAGAAGAAGAAATCACTGCTTGTTTTCAGTTATTTTCAGATAAATACTTGAGACTGCATCATAATTTGGCAATGCCTGTGCCTCACTATAGAACCACCACCAAATCTCTCGTGCTTAACACTACTTAAAATGGCTGTAATGCTGCAATTCAGCAAACAGTAGAAAGTGCTGAAATTTGATTCTTACAGGAAAGCCTTGTGGAGCAGGGAAAGCATATATTTTGGTTAAGTCTGATAAACTAGAATTAGAAGGTATTGTTACATTAAAAGGAGCAAAATGAAATAAAACGGCTATACCAAAACGGGTTATAACATAGGAAATGTGAGGTTAAAATGAAGTTAACACATAGGAGTTGTTTTTAGGCAGCATTTAGCTATGATGAAATGTATACAGGAGTAATTGCTTATATGCTTAAACTTAATTGATTAAAGTGGTTGTTTTCTTTTGGAGCTTTTAGTAGAATAGGCTGGTTCTAATGATTTTTTGTTAAAAAGGTGGACAGTTTGTGCACAGGATGTTGATGATCAGATAAGGGAAAAATAGAGCGAGCAACCGGACGTAAAAGCAGGGCTTAAAGAGTTTTAAAGGGATGAGTAACGTTGAAGAATATATATAAATACAAGTCAATAAGTTAAGAACATAATTAGGATCATGCTTTTGATTACAGAGTCCCAAATAGGATAAGTTAGGGAGGTGCAGGAAAAGGTGTTTTGTTTCCTTTGCAGAAGATCTCGGCGACCACAGGAGGGGCGAGGATGCTGGAGATCTCGAGGCCTCATGAACCAAAAGAGAGGGACCGAGAAAACCTAAGCTTACACATGGAGTGTTCTCGAATGGGAGCTGGTTGAGCCAGAGGACGGCTAGAGAGGGTCTGAGCGAGGACACAATGTATTGCGACCTCTGGTGTTCCAGAGGTCGAGAGAGGGAGTGTGGAGCAGGGAAATTATTTTACTGCTATTGTTAAATAATCATCATTATTACCATTGCATTAATAATATAATCTGGAGTTTATATTGCATTCAGGGGTTGAACAGTGTGTGTCTTTCAGAAAGGCTAAAAGTCACAGGCTGACAGGAAACAGGCTTGCAGAGAGTTTGCAGAAGCAGGAAGTTATTTTGAGCAGCAGGCTAAGACGAGGCTTTAACAATGTAACAGATAGCTTTAAGATGGCCTTAAGATGTTTATGATGATGTTAATTTTGTATTTCAGATGCAGTTATAACTATTTTATACACAATGCATATCTGTGCTTATTAAAGAGTTGGAGCTCGGTCAATTAATTGGGGGTTGGAAGCTTTGTTCGGCGCGATGTCCGGACAATCTATTGTGCAAGTGACTTGGAGCCATAGAAGGAATTGCAGTACATGCTTACAAAACACTTATATATCAGGTCATTTCATATTAAGGTTTTAGTAGGGGTTCTTGATTAAAACATTTATTTAGTAGAAGACATACACATAGTCTCAGTGAGCCTCTGGTCTGGTGAAAGGTCAGAAGTGCAACAGGTGAATTGAGAAAGAACATGTGAGGTCGTGACACACACACATGAGTTAGATTTATTTAGAGGAGAGATTAGTCGTGTCTCGGCAAGAAAGAGGAACAATTCACTTTAAGACAAGAACGGAAAGTACCAGCCATGAAAATAGAAGATGATCTTCTGGGTTAAAAGTCATTGTGGTGTTGATCTGATCTATGTATAAAATGTTTCTGTGACGCATGAAGGGGCGTCAGTAAACAAGCCCTGACGGTATAAAATCTGTGTATGCTTTGAGGAAGTCGGAGATCACTTGCTGTCGGCGTACAGAGTGTTCTTCCCACACGTGTGTTCATTAAAATCATTGTTTGACCAAGAGCTCCTGGACCATGGGTGGTTTGTACTCTCCCTCCTCAATTTTGAACCTTAACAGCCTCAAAAGGTTAGCTTGAAGGACATCACTGGGTCAATTTTCCACAGATTCTTCTTAAATGCACACAGCTTTTATCAAAGCAACAATAGAAATCTCAA